GATAGATAGATAGATAGATAGATAGATAGATAGATTGATTGATTGATTGATGGATGGATGGATGGATGGATGGATGGGGAAAAAATCACATGCACTGCAGAGCATTATCACTGTTGTTTTGCCTTGACATGAGCAGATGCAGTGGCCCTGACTAAGCAAACAGCTCTCAAACTGTTCAAGGTCAGGGACTCTAAACCTCTGAATTACAGGCAAGGTCCACAAATGTACACAAATGCACATATATTGTGTAGCATTAACACATTTGCACGGAAGTCCTTTTACAAATGTTAATGCAAACGTTATGTATATATGTATGTATGCATAATGTTGAGGAACACAAGGAAGCACATGCATGCAAACAAACCGGTGTGCACGCTCACAGGAATACAGTGAGCTATGCTGAGTAACCAGAATATATTGCCGGGTTTCTCCTCAGGTTTCCGCCGCGTGTATAATGTTCACATCCCTAAATAGAATATTGTCAAGTATCTAATTACTGTGACACAGAGATTTTTTAAAACTTTTTTTGCCATAGTCATGTGAAACGAACCATTCATAATGAATCACGTCTTATAGTTACACTCTGCAAGAATGTGACACATCATTACGCCAAAAAAAGAAATAAATAAAAAATGCCCAAACATATCTGCCACCTTCCATTTAGTCAAGGTGAGTTATTCTATTCCAACACCAGCAATGATCTGAATAATATTTAACATGTTCAAAGGGATAACTCTACGCATCAATCAACCACCCACATAAGTGTTTTGTTTAAAGTTACTCTCAGGACTGTGTGGGTTCTGCAGACTCAATTTGCCACTCCTAATTAGTGTGTTGAACCTGTTTGAGGAATTACACCTTTAAAGTTCTTAAAGTAAAAGCTTGTAAAGTCAAAATCAGTGAGGCTTGATTTGGCATGTCACATATATCCACACTAGCATTTATGTGTGCTGTTTGATATGCACTTTCTTACTTTCTACATAAGATAATGTGGAAAAAGATGATCGGGATAAGTGCTTTGACTATACTGGTTGAAATGCCAACACTGTCTCTGGCACAAGAAGCAGAATAAACAGCTGTACTCAGTAGTTTAGTAAATAAATAACTAAATAAATGACAACCCTCTCATCTTTCAAATACACCTAACCTGCAGTACTGTATGCATACTGGGATATGGTGGGCTTTACTCCCCTGCATTTCTTCACCCATTTTCACCATTTCCGAGTCTTTAAAGGAGTACTTCAACATATTGGGAACTAATTGCCTTCCTGTCAATAGTCTGATGAGAGGATCAATACCACTCTTTTAAGCTACAACCAGGGCAGGTCAATCTTAGCTTAGCAATGAAGCAATGAAGCTCCCATTATATCATCTTTATTAAGCCCACGCATTATATAGGGATATACAGTAGGAGGGCAACTTTTTTAAGAAAAGTGTTTCTGAAAATCTTCAATCATTCTTGATATACATATATACATATATATACAGAATAGCAAGCATATTGAAAATGCAAAGCAGCAATATAAGCTCTTTATTCAAAGGTTACAGCAGCTGATGTTGGTTGTAAAGCTAACACTTATTTATAATAAGCTTTAGATTTATGACCGCTATATTGGAAACACTGCATCGCATGCATAATTAATCTCATGAAACTGTATGGATCCAGCTTCGCAGCTTGTAATGTGCATAAAGCTTTAGGGCGAACCGTTGGGCAGCCTCGGTCCACTTAGTCCAAACTAAAGGATAACCACAGGTCTGATACGGTAGATGATACAAACTGCATATTAAGTGGAGTGGTCTAGTGTCGTCCTTGGGGAGTGAAGCTGTTGGAATTGGGTCTGACTCTGACCTGAATGTCTCTCTCTCTTTCCTTCGTTTCTTCCATAATTCATGTTCCATGTGTGTGGTGCTGATTATTTTTAGCTGAGTGCAGCGAATGGGCTGTACACAGACAAATGGACGGAGGAGGGAGCCAAAGGGCAGGTGTGTGACTTAC